GGAAGCAGACCAAGAAGGAAAAAGTGAAAGGACCAGTCGGTCCAGACCCCATATGGACACCCCAAGCCCAGAGGACAACGTCCCAGCATGGAACTGCTAAGGCACATATATGAGTGTAGGGCCGACGACAGCTCACAGCATGTTGTTCCCTTGCTGGAGCTTACTGCGACAGAGGATAATACTGGGGACACATGGCAAGGAGCAAGCGTGGTCTGAACTCCCCACAGTGGGGCAAACCAAGAAGGGAACACACAGATCAGCAACAGGAGCAAAACCAAGCCATAAAGCCAGCCCCCCCAAATATACTTCAGGCTAGGAGTGGCAGTTCCCAGAATTTCTCCAGGACCAGTGGGGAGATAGTCGTAAAGGTCAGTGGACAGACCTGGAAGTAAGCATGTTTTTTGGCTTTTGTTGTTGTGGTTTTATGTTTTGGGGTTTTTTGGGGTGGGGGTGGAGGGGTAATTGTTTTTTCTTCTTCTTACTTTTCTGTTTTTTTAGCAGTTATTGGTTTTCTCTTTGTTTGGTCAATGCCATCGTTGTTATGCCTAATTACACAAGACAGGCATAGGAAGCACACTTGAGGAGAAAACAACGGGACCAATGGTCCTGGGGGGACTTTGGGTGGGGGTGGAAGAGAGGAGGGGAAAGGTGCGGTGGGCAAACAGTGCCATAGACAGGAGAACAACTAAGGAATAACATCAATAACGAGGAGGACATAGAGATCCTGGTAGCGCTGGAGCAATAGCTGTCTAGCTGAGAGGAAATACCGTGAGGCAGAAGTAGGGCAAGCATGATGGTGGGGCAGAAGGAAGGAAAAAAGAAACAGGAATGATCTAGAAAACAAAGCTATGGATAGAGGTATAAGCATAGGGGCGTCCATATGTAAATACATTAATCCATAAAAATAGAGGTATTGGCCTATGTACATATATTTATATGGCAATACACTAAGGTAGTGGATGGACTTTGGGCCTCTGCTTATACCCTCCCACAATACAAGAACACGTTGTTCTAACAAATTGGCAATCTGAGATGCTCACTGAAGACAAAATGGGTGCATAAGTAAATGTGGTGAAGAGGGCAGATGGTGCCCAGCTATTAAAAGCTATAGCGTCTGGGGTCTTAAAGGCTTGAAGTGAAACAAGCGGTCATCCAGCAGAGAAACAACAAGCCCACATGGGAGAAGCACACCAGCCTGTGCGAGCATGGAGTGTCATCAGGACCAGGTAACAGGCATCAGAAGACCCTTAACAATCAAGCAAACAAAATCATATGGTTAAGAATGAGGGGGATTGGAGCAGAGACCCAAAGCCCATCTGTAGACAATGGAACATCTCCACAGAGGGGTCACAGGGAAGGGATGAGTCCACCAGGGCACAGTAAAGCATTGATAAAACACACAAGATTCCTCTGGTTCCTTGAAGTTTCCTCATCCCCCACCACCATGAGCCCAGTAATGCCTCTCATTTCAGACTAGACCGGAGCATGTACACAGCCAGATAAGAGATAAGAGCTCATGACACAAGCAACCTAGGAGCAGGAATGCCATTGGAAGAGAGATACCAGATGGGAAGGGTGAAGGGGGTAGGGGGGAAGACGGGGGAACCGATCACAGTGATTGACACACAGCCCTCCAGGGGAAAGAACAACAAAAACCATGGGGGGAGGGAGACAATGGTCAGTGTGAGACATGAAAATAACAATAATCTATCAAGGGGTCCTGAGGGCGGGCGGGGAGGGGGCGGAAAAAGGAGCTGATACCAAAGACTCAATAGAAAGTAACTGTCTAGAAAGGAATGATGGCAACATATGTACAAATATGCCTGATACAACTGATGTATGGATTGTAATAAGCATTTTAAGAGCTCTCAATAAAATGATTTTTTTTTAAAATAGCTGCCATCTGTCAAATCTGCTTGGTTTTCTTTACTTGCAATTTACTCTCTGTCTTGCAGACTTGAAACAAACAATTAAAGCCAATTGCTATATGTTAAAAAAAAAACAAGAGTGGAGATCTCAGTGTATCTGATTAAGATTCTTCATGCCAACCTGAGCTCTCTCCTCAGGCCCAAACCATAGAATTGGTAGCTCTCTTCATTATCTATACAAACGATCTTCCATTTTCCTGATTTTTGACTCTCCAACAAGTGCCTCCTTTTTGTCACCTATCTGGTGGCTGCCCACTGCACCTTGTTGGAGCATAGTTTTCTGATTAAACACCAGCGTTTTCCCTTGGACTCAATAAGGTTCCTACCTTCGGTATCCAGGTTTCTCGGGAGAGAATGTTCTTATCTTTCCCCCTGAACTGATAGGAGGACACAAAGGGCTGGGCTTGCTCCTTTCACATCACCAGTCAGTCAGCTTTCAAAAGCCCGCTCCCTCACATGTGCTAAATGCCCTGTGAAATTCTAGATGTGAAATCACTGAAGAACACCCAGGGGGTTTTCTGTGAGCCCCTTGCAATGAGCAGTGTGGTATAGGGCAGGTGGCTCAAGTCCCAGCTCTCTCCCTTATTAGTTGGTGATCTTAATTAATCCCTCACTTTAGTCAGAATCACATCACCTGCAAATAGAAGTAAAACAAACTCTCCAGGATAGTTGTGAGGCACGATGAGATCATACCTGTCCTACGCCAGCAGCATAGAAGGCCCTGGGGGGTGCATGTGGTTAGCCTGCTTGGCTGCTAACCCAAAAGGTGGAGTTTTGAGTTCACCGTGAGTGCATTGGAAGAAAGTCCTGGCAAGCTACTGTTTAAAAAATCAGCTATTAAAATAATTCCAACATAAGTATGCTAGTTACATAATCTGATGTCAATTTGAGAGCCTTAAGAGTGAAGGAGTGGAGTCTGTCAATCAGGTTGCAGCTTGATGACCTCATTTGGAGGCACTAAGTAGATACATAGCCAGCGGGGGCGAGACACATGCTCACTCCCTGCGAGACATCCCTGCTGAGAAGACACATGGAGAGAGGCTGATGGAGCCAGAGGAGCCACGTGGAGACCCCTGAGAGTGCTGAGATACCACCACTGGATCCACAAGACTTTCCACCCACTGGCCTGCGATCTTCCTGCATTCGGCATCATTGCATGTGCTTCATGAGTCTGAAGAGGACTTTGTAGATTGGTTTGGACAAATGGGCTAATATTGAACTTAGGGACTTGAGCTGGACTGGGCTGGGAGGTTTTCTCAATATTCAAATGCTCTTGCATGTAAAGCTCTTTCTTATACACATATGAGTGTCAATGAATTTGTTTCTCTAGTCAACCCAGAGTCATACAATAAGGTTGTCAAGAATATAAATTGCCTGGAATTTTTTTTCCAGTCAAAATAAAACCTGAATTCTTGGTCAGGGTCTAATCAATAGCCGCCTCTCTGTCTTCACATTTTTTTCATTTCCCCCCTACCTCCATCAACCTCTAATTACATTAGCTTTCTCCCTGTCCCTTGGATGGGCCAGGCTCATCTGAGGAACTCAACGTCTGTCTTTCATGGGACCTTCTTTACATTTAGGTCTCAGCTCAAATGTCACCTCCCCAGAGCAAACCCCCTTGAGCCTCTAAACTAAAGTAGTCACCCACTTATTCAATTGTCTATCTCATATTCCATTGTATTTTTCTCATGGCAGCTATCAATAATAGAAATATCAAAAGTATGTATTTGTAGGGGCTTTTCTTATCCATCCCCTACCACAAGAATTAAATCACTAAAGGAGTCTTTTTGAGCCTATCACGGGTCTGGAAACATAATACTTGCTCAATAATATTCTAATGGTTGAATTCCATCTTTTAAGGATGTATTAAAATCTTAGGGTGTCCTAGTGGTACAGCAGGTTATGAGTTGGGCTGTTAACCTCAAGGTCAGCAGTTCCAATACACTAGCTTCTCAGCAGAAGAAAGATGAGACTATTTATTCTCATAAAGAGTTACAGTCTCAGAAACCCACAGGAGCACTTCTATCCTGTCCTATCAGTACCAATCAACTCAGTGGCAATGAGTTTGGGGGCTTGGATTAATAGATAAAGGGATGTTAGGGTTAGTAACGTGACGAAATTCCAAATAGGAGGACCCATATCTCATTTAACTATTTAGAATGTTAGTAGCTGTGAAAGGGGACAAGCTTTGCTTTTTCCGTCTCCAAATTAAACACTAGAGGAGAAAATCGACTGTCTTGTGGCACAAGAGGAAAACACCCTCAATCTTTGACCTTTTATTTGTTCCAGATTATGTCAACCAGGCAAATTGGACCAGCTACCCTCTCAGCCCAACGAGAATGCCAGCTTAATTGAAGTTGACATTTAAAAAACACTTTTTAAGATGCTATCCCACCCACGCAAGCATTTGGACCACTGATGTCCTCTGACTTCAGATGTCGGCAACGTTCATGTCTTAGAAAACTTTCAGAAACAAAAGAAACAGATTAAAAACACCTCTACTCCGTCACAAAGCTGTGGTCCAAGGCCTCCCTTCCTGTGATCCCTGAACAAAAAGCCTATGCTTCACTCAACAGGTATTTTAAGAGATGAGAACATTTCTGAAGCCCCGGAGCACCCAGAGGGATAGTTACGTTAGCACGTTTCCGGAAGATCTGATCAGGTCAACCACTTGTTTGTGGGAGAAGCCTTCTGTGCTCACACCATTGATATTTGCAAGGACATCACCTGGGAGATACAACAAAAGAGAGAGAGAGAGAGAG